ATTGGGGGGGGGGGGGGCCTCCCCGCCTGGGGGGGGGGATCTACTGCACACGTGACCAGAGGCAGGGCTGAAGCCCGTGTGGAAAAGTTAGTGCAAACTCCTTCTGAAGAGCTGGGCCCTCTGGTGCAGAAGTCTGCAGGGCCGGCGAGGAACGCAAGGCTCTCCCGTCCTGCCTGTCCTGTGAGAGGTGCAGGAACACCCGGGATCTGGGTCTGACTGGGCTGTTATTTGTCACACAGGTGCCCCTCTCTGAACCTCAGTGACCTCACCGGTAAAATGCGCAGCCCAGACTGGGTGATCGCTGAGCACCCTGCGGGCTGGCTATTCTGTGAGGTCACCGACCTGAAATGATGTTCTTATTAGCGAGATTTTAATCCCACATGCCCGCCACAGGCTCCAGGCCTCATCAAAGGTAAGAGCAGGCTGGAAAAAGTGATCTGAGGCTCTTCTGCCCCTTTAGTGCTCTGGAATCTCAGCAGACGGATGCTTTGCTTTTCTAAGATTCTAACATTTTGTGGTTCTTATGTTCTGACGTTCTCTGCTGGTTCCGTGAAGCACGAGTTCTGTTCCTGTCTTCGGCAAAAGAATCAAGTACACTGCCTGGCACATGGTAAGCACCAGAGAAATACATGCCGCATGTACTAATCCTAAGGAGCTCACCTATGACAAGAGAATCTTTAAGTTCTAACAGTTGAAGGTGGGAATATTCTACAATTTTAGGGCACCAGCATTCTGTGAGATCCAAGATGCAGTAAATCTGACCCTAAGTTCCTATTGTGTCATGGTTCTAAAATCCCAGCTTCCTTCAGTCCTATGAGCAAACTACCGGCTCTTCAGAAGGAGGAGGTGATGTCATGGCACCGGATCTTTAAGCCCAGGCCATTGCAGTGGTATCGACGTGTGCAGCAGAGGGCCACCAGGGAGGGGACATAAGCACAGACATATACAAGTATACAGTACAAGACAATGCATCCACCGAGCAGCACGGCTGTGTGCTTTCCCCACTCCGACTGTAGGAGGTCTGTAACATAGTCACATCCATCCAGCTTTCCCAGGGACCCTGCCACCTGCTGATTCACCAGGGATCTAGCGAAGTGGCACAGAGGGCTGCTGAGTATGGGGTCATTGCAAGCTTTCTGTGAGCTGTTCACAATGGAGAAGGCGGCTCAGTTCATTGTCACCAAATCACACAGGATTTTGCAGGTTCCGTGACTCTCGGTATCAACCCCTGAGCCTAACCAGGTGTCAATATGTTGTAGAGTTATCGCATGTACCATTTGGCTGGTTGATAAGAAAAACTCAGTAAGAGCCATGGAGGCAGCCAGGACCCATGGACAGATGCATCCTCTAGGTGGCGGCTCCCTCTGTGTTTTGGTCTCTTTACTATGAATTTGGGCTGTGAGTCCCCTTACTATCATCTACTGATAGATGAGCACTCCCAGTTCAGTGGGGGGGAGGGGAGCTTCCCTGACAGCACCTACCAGCCAGCACTTCAGGGTGACACAATCCATTCCCAGGTGTTATGGCGCCTGCCCTGCTACTGCAGTTACCTGCACCTGTCTCTCACATGCAGGGTACAGTGCATTCTTGGGGTACAACACATTCTTAGAATGGGCCTTGGAGGGCCATAGAATTGGGGTTGGCATCACAGCCTAGACTCCTGCTAGTTGTGTGATTGTGGGGAAATTACTTCCGCTCCTCATCTGTAAGTTGTCCCCTGCCCTGGCCTTTTACAACTTGCTGTGAGGACTGAAGACACCATATGTGAGCACACAGTATGCAGAGCAAGCAGGAGCTCCCTCCCCCCGCCAGTACTCACAAATAATTTATTAAACTGAACAAAACCACCTCACCATTTGTGACTCCCCTTCCCCTGCACCCCAGTTTTGGGAAGTTTTTGTCAGCCAGACTGAAGTTGGTAGGCAAATAGTCGTTTCCTTGTTGTTTCTTAACCAAAGACACCTTATCATCACCGATCCGAGCATGTGATGAGTCTGAGATAACCACTGCCATACCACACTCCACAGTCAGAATTTCAGACCAAAGTTAGGAAACACGAGATGCTGTTCCAGGTTGCTTATTACAACGTTTTCCTGAGAAAATCTGTCAAGCTTTAAGAAAAAAATAGTTCCAGAACTAAGGAAACTGTTCCATCACAGACTTCAGGGACCCTGGGTAGAGAATAGCATGGCACCTTCCCAAGCCCATGCCTGCCTCGTCTTCCTCCCAGCCCACGGTCTTTGGGGTTGCTCTGGATCTTCATAACTAAGAGAGGAATCGAACACAGTGCCAGGCCCTCAGAGGTGGGTGACGTTTCTGTGAGTACACACATTACAGAGAACATGGCATTTCCTTCTTACTCATTAGCAGCTTTTCATTTAAGTAGTCACCAAGGTAGCATGCAAGAACAATGTACCAGGATTCATAAACTTATTGGAAAATGTATGTTTTTAAAATAATTATTTATTTTATTACTATATTTTATATATTTTATTTGCTTTAGGGCACATGCACGAGAGAGAGAGAGAGAGAAAGAAAGTGAGAAAGTAAGCTGCTAGGTCTAGGACTCGAACTGCGGTGGTCAGCCATGTGTAATCCAGTGCCCCAACAACCACACCACCTGCTGGCCCCCAAAATATATGGTTTTTTAAACTCACCCTCTTCAAATTTCTATTTATTGGGCCATTGGAAAAGTCATGAAGCAGCTTTGCATAGAAAAACAGAAAAATATATCATGACTTTTCTGATGACCCAATAGTATATGATTTATAATGTACACAATATATGAGTGCCCAGAACACATGTAGTCGAGCACTCTGCTGTGTGTATGCCTGCTATTCAACATGCACAGAAGCAGGGAAGGGTCATATTAAGAGAATGGGCTTTGGTCAGCCCATTGGATCCCACATGGCCAACCACATGGTCCAAGTCATAGACTCATTGGCTAAGAAAACATGTCAAATATATGTGTGTGCTCCAACTCCTGAAAGGAGGGAGAAATGGAGAAGAGATTGTGGCATGACCATGCCCCATAGGGGCTGGGGGGAAGCCTTCTCATTCTCTATCACTCTGTCTCTTTCCAGTGAGCATAGGTGCTCTCTGGCCAAAAGAAAAAGAATAAAAGAGAGAGAGTGGAGTCAGACCATCTGCATTTGAATTTCTGTTCTGCTCCTTGCTAGTTTTCTCACTGACCTTGGGCCTTGATCTTCTCGTCTTGTTTGAATGGAGATTTAAACCAGCAAACAAATGAAAACAAGAACATCTCACTTCATAGGGTTAAAGTATGCATAATGACATTTCTATTCATCCCAATAATTTCAAGCTAATTCTTGATTTAATTATGTATTGATTGAATTAAAAAAAGAAAAAGAAAAAGGAAACCAGACCTACACAGATACTTCATCTCAGTGGAATCCTAAGATGATATCTTTATCCTTTCTCTGAAGGCTGGCTAGGTTTCAGCTTCTCAGTCTCCTTTCCAGAAACACTTTAATCCCTTTTCCTAAATTTAAACATTTCTTATACACTCACATAGACCACTCAGTTGCTTCACTGAATAAGTAAAAGCATACGCAGTTCTAAGCAGAGGATGAAGTATTAAAACTTAGTTCTCTGGATCAACAGATGGCCTAATCGTTATATCACTGGGCTCCAACATAGTCGGCCGTGGTTCAAGTACCTAGCAGCTTAAAACTCATGCTGGGCATGTGTAGTCGGCCGTGGTTCAAGTACCAGACCTAGCAGCTTAAAACTCATGCTGGGCATGTGTGTGTGCATGCCCAAGATCCCAAGAGGAGAATGTCCCATGGCCATCCTCCTGGGGGACGATTTCTCTCTGTTTTGTCTCTCTGTCTCTCCAATGAGCACATGTGTCCCACAGTAAAAATCTCTCTAAAAATTGAAACAAAACTTAGTTCTCTTGGGCCAGCAGGTGGCATAGTGGTTAAGGTCCTGGACTTCTACATGGTCTGTCATGATTCCAGTCCTGGATCCAGTGGCTTGAAACTACACAGGGTGCATGTGGGTATGTACCCAAAATCCCAAGAGGAGAATGGAAGAGAAGGGATTGTTGCATGGCTATCCCTCCTTGGAGGTTACTTCTCATTTTCCCTCGCACTGTCTCTTTCTGTCTCTTTGGTGAGTGTATGTGCCCGATGGCAAAAACTTTAAAAAACAAAAAGAAACAAAACTTAGTTCTCCATCTGACAAAAAGGTTTGGGGCGCACTGGAGCATCAGGCAGCCTACTGCAGTGCTATCACCTCCTACGTTCTATTCCACTGAGTTATGCTCACGTCAGCTGCTTGAGCACTTTCCTGTTGAACACAGACTAAGGACCGCCCATCTCTGTGTTCTGTCCTGATTCAGAGTGCCAGCCTAGCAAGAGGCTGAGAACTAGTTCCTACACATTTGAAATATACTGAAATCCACTCTTACAGAGCATTTCAAAGAGCTTCACATCTGAAAATCCAGGGTGACCATACATTTTGGTTTGTCAGTGAGAGCGTCAATTTAACATGCTATCTCACACTGATTAATAATCGTGCTCCCCTTGATACAAAATTGTCTCTGTTTGGACAATTAGTTATAAGATCACCCTGCTTCATGGCAGTGAAGTGCAGGTTCAATTCCACACCTCAGGCTGTAGTCTGCACCAGGGGGATGGAGATCAGGAATTCCGGGTGGCAGATCCATACCGGCACAGCCAGAGGCACAGCCAGATTGTGGCAAGTCCTTGCTGATACGGTTCTCAAAGTTTGTTTTTGGTCCAACATTCTACCTGACAGCAGTAATAGTGCTCTATACTTCGAGGGATTGTTATGAGGATTAAAGGAGACTACTGAAAAAAATGCCAGATATAAATAATTTCAGGAACAAGGGAAAGTCAGATTCTTCCAGCATGGATGCTCATAAAATGTTTGCAGACGAATTAATTTATATAAAAGATAGACTAAAAATTAAAAACAAAAACAGTTTAATAATGATGATCACTGTTATGGGCAATTAAAATTTTTAATATACTTTTATAATGGCAGTATTTTTAACAATAAGCATACAGGGTTATTTTTATACTTTTAAAGGTTATTTCCTTTAACTGTAGAGAAAATGAAATAATAACTGAAATATCTGGACTATAATAGGTACTAAAAAAGATGGTAGTTTTAAATGTAAAAAATATTTTATGCATTGATATTAGTACTATAATTTGATACATATGCATTTTTAAAATGTGAAAACCTTTAACTGAGGATTTGGGGGTAAATTATTCTTCTAGGAATTTATCCTCAAATTATCCTGACTTTTCAAAAGATTTACTTGTATGTATTCATTACAATGCCATTTGTATCAATAATAGTAAAAAGTAAAAATTTTAAAAAATGTTAAAGAGGAAAGTATCTTTCATATTAAATTGCTAGTAACATTGTTAGTGATGTAAATTAAGTCACACCGATATAATGCATTACACAGATTAAAGCTATGTTGTGAAGAATAGTTAGTAATTTGGGAAATAGGACATTGAAAAAGTGTGATACAAAACTGTATAAAAATTCTGACTTCTGTCAAAGGTATGTATGTGTGTGTATACACAATCTGCACATAAATGTTAATACCAATTGTCTTAGGACATAGAATTATAAATTAATTTTATTTTTAATCTCTCTGTATACACACACACACACACACACACACACACATATATATATAAAATTATTATTTTGCATAGGGTACATGGACTCACTGGAGAGAGAGAGAGAGAGGATAAGTGAGAAATCACCCCCAGGGGGCTGGCCATGCCACATTCTCTTCTCCTCCATTCTCCTCTCAGGATTTTGGGCATGCATACACATGCACATGGCGTGCTTTTCAAGCTGCCATGCCTGGGACCTGAACTGTGAAGTCAGCTGTGTAATCTAGCACCTTGACCACCATACCACCTGCTGGTCCTTTCTGTATTTTAATGTTTATTTCAAGGAACCAACGTGATAAAGAGATTGTTTTAAAAAATCAAAGTTGGGGAAGTGGTGGTTAAGGTGACTGATCTTACATGGCTGATTGTGTGATT